GCCGCGGGCGACCGGGGGCTCCTCTCATCTCCGCGAGATGATTGTGCCAGCGCCGTCCACGGGGTGGGGCCCTCTCGACCGTTCGGTGTTGCCGCGCGGCCAACCGTTTCCACACAGCCCCCAGGCCTCTCTCTCTCTCTCTCTCTCTCTCTCTTCGTCGACGACAAAGGGGCCGCGGTTCAACGCGCCACAAAGCGCCGGGACGCCCACACACACGCGCATGGATACACGTAGGTATATGTACGGTCACGTGTGTGGGTATATGTGTATATATAGAGAGAAAGAGAGAGAGGGAGGGTTGTAGATTCGTATACAAAGGCGCGGGAACAAGCCGAGAGAGTCGCGGCGCGTGAACTTGCACCCAGCGGCGCCTAGGAGCCACCCTTTGCCCTCAGCTATGTGTATGTATGTGTATATGTATATGTATATGTATGTAGCCGAATCGAGAGCGAGGAAAATCTGAGGGGAGGAGGAGAAAAGAGAGAATCGCAGCACCGATAAGATAGGAGGAGGAGGAGGAGGAGATCGATTCGCCGCGACGACGACTTCTTCTTCTTCTTCTTCTTCTTCTCTCGTCGCGGTTCCTGAGGATGGAATTATCGGTGTTTCTTTTTGTTCTTCCTCCCCTCTTTCGTTTCTTTTTTTTTTTTTTTTTTTTTTTTTTTTGAGAATGGAAGAATTTTTGGAAAGTTTTGAATCTACTATGTTGGTCGTTAGGAGATATTATAACGTGAGGTTTAGGAGTGGTTTTCTTTTCTTTTTTTGAGAATGTTTTTGGAGAATCTTGACATGTTACTATGTTCATCGTTAGGAGATATTATAACGTGAGGTTTACGAGTTTTCTTTTTTTTTTTTTGAGAATGTTTTTGGAGTATCTTGACGTGCTACTACGTTGATTGTTACGAGATATTGCAACGAGGTTTATGAGTGGTTTTCTTTTCTTTTTTTTTTTTTTTTTTGAGAATGTTTTTGGAGTATCTTGATATGCTACTACGTTGATCGTTACGAGATATTACAACGTGAGATATTACAACGTACGAGTTTTCTTTTTTTTTTTTTTTTTTTTTTTGAGAATGTTTTTGGAGAATCTTGACATGTCACTATGTTCATCGTTACGAGATATTACAACGTGAGATTTACGAGTGGTTTTCTTTTCTTTTTTTTTTGAGAATGTTTTTGAAAAATCTTGATGTGCTATTATGTTGATCGTTAGAAGATATAACGTGAGGTTTACGAGTTTTCTTTTTTTTTTTTTGAGATTGTTTCTGGAGAATCTTCTACGTGCTACTACGTTGATCGTTACAATCTATTACAACGTGAGATTTGATATTTACGAGCTTGTATTTACGAGTGGTCATTTTCTTTTCTTTTTTTGAAAATGTTTTTGGAGAAATTTGAATTTATGTGCTACTACATTCATCGTTACGAGATATTACAACGTGAGGTTTGATATTTAGTTTGTATTTACGAGTGGTCGTTTTCTTTTTTTTTTTTTTTTGAGAATATTTCTGGAGAATCTTGAATCTACGTGCTACTACGAGTTTGTATTTACGAATGCTCATTTTCTTTTTCTTTTTGAGAATATTTCTGGAGAATCTTGAATCTACGTGCTACTACGAGTTTGTATTTACGAGTAGTCGTTTTCTTTTTTTTTTTTTTTTGAAAATGTTTTTGGAAAATCTTGACGTACTACGTTCATCGTTACGAGATATTACAACGTGAGGTTTACGAGTGATTTTTTTTTTTTTTTTTTTGAGAATGTTTTTGGAGAATCTTGACGTGCTACTACGTTGATCGTTATGTGATATTACAACGTGAAGTTTACGAGTGGTCGTTTTCTTTTTCTTTTTGAGAATATTTGGAGAATCTTGAATCTACATGCTACTACAAGTTTGTATTTACGAATGCTCATTTTCTTTTTCTTTTTGAGAATATTTGGAGAATCTTGAATCTACGTGCTACTACGAGTTTGTATTTACAAATGCTCATTTTCTTTTTCTTTTTGAGAATATTTCTGGAGAATCTTGAATCCACGTACTACTACGTTCATCATTACAGATATTACAACGTGAGCTTTGATATTTACGAGTATATTTGGCCGTGAGCGTATTTTAATTGGAGGATCGAGCAGAGGATAAATTTTGTTATTACGACACAGTGAGATATGATACACGAATTACGATAATAACAAGAGAGAAACTTACCCTGTCCAGGAGCCGGCGACGTGGCGTGGCTCCAGCCTCCTTTGTACGAGCTGCTGGCATCTGTGAACAAGCGAAGAGGGACGCCGATGAATCGAGGAATATATTCGTATATAATCGTATCTCCAATGATAACGAAATTTTAAATATCGAACGAACGAAAGGAAGGAAGGAAGGAAGGAAGGAAGGAAGGAAATCGTCTCGAGATCGATCGAGAGTTTAAAAATGAAGTCCCTCGTTCGTGATCCCTAAAGAAGAGATTGCACGATTTTTCCTTTCCTTCTTTCCTTCTTCTTCGGGTCACGTTGTTAGAACAGTGTGCAATTGCAAGGTAATCAGTTCTGGGGATCGCTGGTGGCAGTAAAATAATAATCTGATCGCTGGTTTTATTTTTTTTTTCTTTTTCCTTTTTCGTCGAGAAACGATTTCCTTGGGAAAAATCTTTACGACCCTTTAACGACGTTACGCCTCCCTTCCAATAGAGAAGTGTGCACGATTCGCCAAAGATTAAACTCGGTCACTCGTGGCGTGTAACAATAACGTTCCCCGATTTTTAGTTTAGTTTCGATCTTCTGTAAATGGGAGGGAAGGTCTGTGGATTTTTTTTTTTGGAAACGGCTGAAAGGGATAAAAATAAATGGATAACGGGATAAAAAAAATGTTTTAGATTTAGATCGCGCTACTTGAAATGTGAAATATATGAAGAGATATTCGTTTTTCTTCTCCTGATTTTTGAGTTTCTCGAGTTTAAAATATATCGAAACACGATCTCGTTTTGTTATAGAAAAAGAAAATTTGTGCACATCGTTCTTTCCACTCATGGAAAAGAATTCGTATCGAAAATCTTCGAAAATGGGTAAAATTAATAAAAAGTCGTGGAGATTCAAAGATTTCTCAAACTTGATGTATTTCAAAACGATTTGGATCACTTTTCTTATGAAAGCTTCGAAAATATTCTAAATAATCGCTGCTTTAGGCTTGAAATGAATAAAAAATCATTCAAAGATTTCTTGAAATATTCTAAAACGATCTCGATCATTTTCCTTATAAAAAGAATTCTTTCCCAAATTTTCATATTCGAAACCTTCGAAAACGGATAAATTATCGAACCTAGAACACTACTTTAGACTCAGAACAAACAAAAACTCATGCAGATTCAAAAATTTCTTAAAATACTTCTAAACAATCTCGATCATTTTCCTTCTTTCACAACCGAAACAATTCTTTTCCTAATTTCCATTTATACTTAAAACAAACCAAAACTCGTGCAAATTCAAAAATTTCTCAAACTTAAAATATTTCAAAACGATTTGAATCATTTTCTTTATAAAAATTTTATAAAAATTCATCCTTCTTTTGCAACCGAAACAATTTTTTTCCCAATTTCCATATAAAAAAACCTTCAAAAACGGATAAATTATCGAGTAAACTCTGATGCAGATTCAAAAATTTCTCAAACTTAAAATATTTTAAAATTTGAATCATTTTCTTTATAAAAATTGAATCATTTTCTTTATAAAAATTTTATAAAAATTCATCCTTCTTTCGAAACAATTCTTTTCCCAATTTCCATATAAAAAAAACCTTCAAAAAACGGATAAATTATCGAGTAAACTCTGATGCAGATTCAAAAATTTCTCAAACTTAAAATACTTCGATAACGATCTCGATCATTTTCCTTCTTTCATAACCGAAACAATTCTTTTCCCAATTTCCATATAAAAAAAACTTTCAAAAATGGATAAATTATCGAGTAACCCAGAACACTACTTCAGACTTAAAACAAACAAAAGCTCGTGCAAATTTAAAAATTTCTCAAACTTAAAATATTTTAAAATTTGAATCATTTTCTTTATAAAAATTTTATAAAAATTCATCCTTCTTTCGAAACAATTCTTTTCCCAATTTCCATATAAAAAAACCTTCAAAAACGGATAAATTATCGAGTAACCCAGAACATTACTTCAGACTTAAAACAAACAAAAAACTGATGCAGATTCAAAAATTTCTCAAACTTAAAATATTTTAAAATTTGAATCATTTTCTTTATAAAAATTGAATCATTTTTTTATAATTTTGAATCATTTTCTTTATAAAAATTCTTTCGAAACAATTCTTTTCCCAATTTCCATATAAAAAAACCTTCAAAAAACGGATAAATTATCGAGTAACCCATAACACTACTTCAAACTTAAAACAAACAAAAAAATTCATTCACTTTTCCCGCAAAAAGATCCTTTCCTATAATCGTCACTCGCGATCGAAACTCCCTTTCTTTCTTCCTTCCTTCCCCCTCCCCCCTAATATTCAAGATTCGTGTTTCTCGTTCTCACAACTGTGCACATTCATCCATAATATTTGCGATCGACGAGGACGCGTATCGGTTTCACGTGGCGTCTCGCGTCGCACGAAAGAAATCTCCTCGATTTTGCTCCGCCGCCAGTGTTCCCGAGCGCCGCCGGTCTGTTTGCAGACAGATATATTTTCATTTGGCAGTTATTGGCACGAGGGCGGCCCCCGCGTGTGTACACACGCGGGCCTCCTGCTCTACGTCATGCTGCAGCTCGCAGAAAGTCCGTGTTTCCGTGCAAACAGCACGGACCTTTTCGTCTTTGCTCCCCCCCTCCTCCTCCTCCTCCTCCCTTCATTTGATCTCGATCCATTAATGGAGAGGGGGGGATGGGCCTCGAATTTCACGTGAAACTCGAGGGATCGTCGCGATCGGTGACCCTCGAATTATCCTGCTTTATCGTCGAATCGTTCCTCCATTTATCACAGTTGAATGCGTTGAAACTCGTGGAAGGATAAAGTTAAGAGAGTTTTCTTTTTCTTTTTGTCAATAGATATATAGAGAGAGAGATCGTCACGTGGCCGATTCATAATTATTTCCCGAATCGCAGATTCTGTAATAACGAAATCTTAGAACGGGTGGAATATTATTGTTGTTGTGTACATTCAACTTGTATAATCGTTATAAATTGTCAGAGGATAAAATTGTTTTGCGATCCGTTTCGATTTTTTACTTTTACGTAATTCGAGATTGTAAAAATACGTATAATTCGTGTATTTGCATATATTCTACGTTTTTTAAAAGAAAATCGCGTGAAATTGTAACGTAAGTTCACTTATTGCGTATTTCATTAAGTACAATTAATTCGCTCGAAGGGTAAAGTAGGGTAAAGAAACAATTCCTTCGATCGACGCGACGTACATATACCTACAGAGATAAAGAAGACGAACGTTTACATATTTACGTTAATACAAAAAGAAAAAAAGAAAAAAAAATAAAACTTCATTTTAGAAAAAAGAGAGAGAGAGAGATATATAATATAAGCGATCGAGCATACGATCGAAATCCTTCGACTGCGTCGCGAGCGAAAGGAGAAAAGAGGCGAGGCGCGAGTTCGACGGAGATAAATTGGCTGCGATCGGCGGACGTACCGGCGAACAGCATGGATAGATTGGTGAACGCCGTGGTGCGTGGCAATTCCGCGGCGGTGGTCCCGCTGCTCTTGAGGTCGAGCATCGCTCGTCCCGTGTGCCAGCGGCCGCTGGATACGGCGGCCCTTCCACGGGATATACCTTCACCCTTCTCCTATATCCCCCGAATCGATCACGGCACCGCGAACGTCCAGACCGCTTCTGTTAACCACGTCGACGGCCAACCGTCGAGACGACTGGTCATAATCCAGGCCGATGATTTGACGCCCGACCGAGAACGAAATATCAATCGAGAACTAAACTGTATGGGAGCGAAAGCGCGGCTACCGATTCTACGATATTTCCTCCCAGCGACGTTCAACAACAGCAAGCGTGGCTTTCCACGTCGATCCCGTCGCCGCCGTCTACCTTCCCCGTGGCGAGAATCACGTCACAGTCGTGGTGGTGGTGGTGGTACGCGTGGAACGATCGTTCGAATACACGATACGTGGCGGTGTACGTATGCGCGGCAAGGGCGCCGATCAT